CGGCACACGCGTAGATACGCGATAAACGGAAGAAAGAGCGGGAGAGGGAGGGCCAGATGAGAGAATGCAAGCCTCACCTGTGCTCTGGCCACCACGTAGCTTCTGCTCTGGCCTCTCGACCCTCTCCTCGCTCGGGGGAGGTGGCCTCTCTGTCCTTTTCGGATAGTACGGGTTGTACGAGGATGGCCACACGGTGGTCGGCCTTTTTGCTGGTGACGGCGTGCTCGGTCGTCCTGAAAATAGATTAGGACCTTTCTCATCTAACCCAGCCAACTCTCTCTCTCTCTCTATCTCTCTCTCCTTCATCATCCTCTTCACCCTCTCCGTTGCTTCTCTGTTTTCCCTCTCCTTCTACCTCATTGCTTTCCTCTCACGAAACACCGTTTCCTCTATTTATTTACTCGTCGTCTTTTTAATTCCCCCGTTACATTTTTTCCTTCTTTTCTCTCTTTCTTTCTTTTTGCTTTCACTCTCTTTCAATCCTGGTGCAACCGGTTCATACTATACAAGCTCGTTTCCGGACGAATTTCCTTAATTGAATCTCGATCGCAGCTGCGCGAGATCGTTACACAACCATGGGAACTTAATTCGATAAGGTCTAAAGTGGCCGAGGAACCTATTTAGTTAGCTGTTCCATTTCCAACGATTGAACGAATGTTTGGCTAATATTGCTACTCTGCTTTTACGTACAGAGATAGTGTACTCTGCTATGAGGCCATAGAACAAATTTAGTTAACCCACTATGGGCCCGTGTAACTTTCAGGTCACATACTAATATATCGATATTTTATTAAATAATTGAACTTTTTTGCACAAGATGGCGTAAACGCCTTGTTGCACAATGTCTCCTTATTAACCAGTAACTTTCTTGATAACCGTTGTTACTTCAAAGTCACAATATGTATTCGTTATAATAAAATTGTTGAAACTGCTGAATTCATTGTTATTCTGTATTTATAGGACGATATTTCTTAATTTTACGTTACATACATTTTTCTATAGTCGAGAAAAAAATTCGGCCCATAGAGGGTTAAGGAAGAATTAATGTCAGGGATCGTCACACACTCTTCGCATTTCTGCGGCGTTTTGCAACGTTCCTCGAATTTCTAAGCGTTTCTCCAACATCCAATCATGTACTCCATTTTCGTTTCGCTCTTTCTTTCAGTTTCACCAATCACCACTCGAATTTAAAGCCAGAAAACGGGAGAATCTTCACCACATCGCAAGCATATACATTTCACATCACGAAAACATAGATTCGTCTGACGTCAAGGGAAAATTATCGGTTGTAATTTTCCAAACTGTGCACACAGTAAGTTTACAGCGACTCAACCCTCGTCGCCGCAATAATTTCAGAAATTTCAACAGAAGTTTATTCCGGGGATATTCGATCTCGAATTGCAAAACCCGCTTAAAGAATTACCAAAACTGTTCAGACATCGCATCGCGAGAGAGAAAGAGAGGAGGAGGAGAGAGATGGGACGTAGGAAAACAGCGAAACCGCAGAACAAACTGTCGTCAACCTCGAAAGCTGAAATTAATCCTGCGCGATTCGTAACGGGAAATAATTCCTCGACGAACAACGATCGTCCTTACCCGCGAACGCTATCGCAAAGCAACTGTGTGCTCGTTCTCGATGTCTGCAAATCCGGAAACCGCGGGTCCGTTCATTTCAGGCATGATCCTGGGAAAGGAAACGCGAGCAAAGTGTCCTCTCGATCGGGTGTTTCCGAGTGGACTCGCGTTGAAAACTCACACATAGGCGGTTTGATGAATTCCGATAGCTTCTTTGAAAAGTAGCCAAGTTCAACTTGTTGCGTTCGATGCTGGCGGACGTTTCATTCAACTGCACAACCAGACAGAGGGAGAGAACGAGAGAGAGAGATAGAAAGAAGAAGCTTCACAAAGAGAATCTCGATGGAGAACAACAACGCGAGTCGATTCGATCTTCACGATGATTCACGCTCGATCGGATCCTCGTTCCCTCTTATCTAATCGTTCCTCCGCGCAGCGCCAGGTTAAATCGTTCTCGAGATGCTCTCTTTTTCCAGGCTCTCTGCCGCTGTTATACCGCTGCTGCTCGTTTCGGGGAGAAAGAGGAATGTCGGAGGAACGGGAATAAATGAGCCGGAGAATCGAAAGTATTATTACGTAGGAAAGTGGTGGGTTGCTCGGTGAATTTGAAATTCCGCAGGATGAACGCGGGTCAGGGATCCTCGAGTGAACAGGAGGATTTGAAAAGTTGGTCCACTGCGAAATACGCCCCCTTGAAAACCGTTCGGAACTGGAATATCTTTAAGGATGCGAGCATGCTAGTACATTCACAAACTTCCCCGGAATTTAGTCGTTTCGATACTCCACCGTTTTCCTCTCCCTCCGTATCTAACCACGGAAGAATCGAGTACCTCTCTTAATTCTCCAGCTCTCTCAACTTCGTAACTACGTTCGAAACGGCCACTCGTTTCGAGAATGTTGCACAAACATGTCCTATTACTCTGTTAGGGCTTGCGGTTCATCTTTCGATCGTTCAAGCTTTGCCGGTTTTTGCACGTGTGTGCCGACTAATGTTCCAAGGCTTCGAAGGACCAGTTTCTTGATTGAAACACTAAGTTCTTATTTTGTGTTCTATTTTCTACAACTAATTCAGGATAGAAATTCTACTGCGAAGTGAAAGGTGTTTCACTTGCGAGTGGCCAAGTGTTTCTTGCGAGTTGCAAAGTGTTTCTGCCGGAGTCTCTGCGGTTTCCCTCGAAGAAGACTCCTGTTTTCCTAAAAACACCCTGATTGGCGATTTTTCCTTTCCTAGATCACCAATCAGTTTACTCCGGTGCATCGCAACCTCCCTCCATTTCGCCCTTAGCGCGTTATCTTACGGTGGGGTAAACGACGACCGGAGAAAGTGTTCGGTGGACGGATGCGTGGGAATCCTGCGGAATCTCCGCTTTTCTAGGCTTCGTTGAAGTCAAGTGGCCCATCGACGTTGGCAAAAGTCGTTCTATTTTCCGTTCGGAGACTCCCAGGATTTATGGCAGGGCCTGGTCCTAGGGACTAAGTGTCGCAGGCAACGCGATAAACACTTGTAGTGTTTTGAGGAAACGATATTTGCCTGCGACGGCGACCACTTGACTCGCTGCCATAAATCCGGCTACAGGATACGCCTTAACATCCTCCCTCTGCTATACACCCTTCGAGTTTTCGGTTTCAAGTTGGCGAAGATATTCGCAGGGAAGATGCGCTTTTGAAACGCTGGAGAAAATAGTGGAAGGAACGAGAGTAGAACCTGGGGTGGTGTACGAACGATATCCTTGCGCAGAGGCAGATTGAAACTTTGGTTGGATGGTAATTTTGCGTGGCGCGGCATCAACCGAGGGTGCAATTCGAATTCATACCCGACGCGGGACCCGTATACTATTATACGTATCGTTACCCTTTATAGACAGTTGCAGCCTGCTAAGATGGCCCGCCACTTATTTCCAGCCCCTCCAGAATCGCGTGGAATATTCAAAGCTGTCCCGCGTGTACCGTATAATTGTACTGCCCTGTCGAGTTTCTATCCGAATTACCCTACGTCTACGCTGCTTGCCAAAAGAATTGTGTATTCGCGAACGAAGCGTGACTTTGTCTTCGCTTCTGTTCCGCTGAATGAATTAATCGGTGGCACTGACTGTCAAGAAGAATAATTTCGAAAGAAGTAGATTAGATTACACAAGTTCGGTACCGAACTATTCAGTTGATTAATTTTCCTTTTCCGGTTTTTTCTACTCACTACGCGATACCTCTGAAATCCCCAAACCTCACAGTTAGACACGTAGCAGCAATAAACCCATAAGGCCAGCCGATGTCGCAGCGCCCCATTAACAGTCTCATTGTTCACCGAAAGTATGTTCACCAGATCTACCGGCTTTGCGACTTTATTGCCTACGACACTCGCCAACGCATGGCTCCCTTCCTCAAATCCATTTCCGGCAACTCGCACCTTCCGTCAACCAAAATTTCTAATATTCCGCCAATCACGAGCAACAAGCAAAAACACACCCTCTCCAACTCCCCTATAAAACACCCGACATCACTCCAAATCAAGACAGCCAGTTACCATTCAAGACCAGCAATAATAGACGTACCTCGCGACTCACATCATTGCGACAAAATATATTTTATTTGTTAAGTTTTGACAAAGAGTAGTGTCATCTAATAGACAGGCTTTCCTTTGTAAAGTAAAGTCACCGTCCAAGGGAAGGAGAACGGTATCGCAAATGCGATATTCCGGACGGTACAATCTATTCTGAGAATTACCAGTGACTTGCTCTGGAATTAATCCACGGAATGGACGATAAAAGAAATAATTTGGAATGAAAAAATTCGGAAGGAATGACAGTGACGAAAATTACTAGAAGAACGTCGAACCGGCGATCGTTAGGGGTGGTAGAGCAGGAAAGACGGGGAATTTAGCGGAAAATTTCATCGGCTCGTTAACAATTTGCCAAAAGCATGCGAGATTAGACGGTCCTTGGAACAAGAAATAATTAATTTCCACGTAAGAGCGAAACTTGGGAAGAAGTTGCTTCTCGCCGTCGAAGCGACTTCGCTAAAAATAAACAGGCCACGGTGTTGGTGGGGCTCGGAGGGGGTAGGATTTCGAGAGCGGCATCTACTCAATTAATTCTCTTCCCTCGTTCCCCTGCCAAACACCCTCTGCTTTCCACCTCGCCAATTTCTTCCCGTCAAATATTCCCGTATTCCCGAACGTTCCCCGAAAACGCGTTCCTCACAGCGGAACTTCCGCAACCAGACCCTCTCTCCCCTTTCTTTCATTTCTGGCAAACAAGCGTCCCTTTAAACAGCACACACAGCTACGACGATGACAGTGTAGGGACGCTAGGTAGGAGGGTGAAGGCGAGGTAAAAAGTTTTCGAATAAAAGTTTAAATACGCCCGGGCGAACTTTGTTTCGTAGCGTTTGCGCCCAACGCCACCCCCCAATCCGCGTAACAATATGGCCGCGGCGCCGGCATCTTTGTCGAGGTAAAACCATCGTTGGCCCTTGTGTATCCTCGCGCCCCCGTACAAAAGCTACCGGTTCCCTCTCTATACAGGGTGTATCCTTAAGAGCAATCGCGACCGACCTCGTATTTCATCCGCTGGTTTCGTCCGCTACCGCACACACCTTTGTTGCACCCTTATTCCATCCGTCCCTTCCCTCTCTCTATCTCTCTTCCCATTCTCTACCACCTTCT